CCTTCTTCTAGCAGTTGTATGCCTTCCCTCCCTCCTTCCTTCCCTCCTTCCTTCCCTCCTTCCTTCCTTCCTTCCTGTCGTTTTCTCTGCTTGCAGCTGTGTACGCTAGAGTTGACAAGCTGTACGATACGCTGATTGGAATGAATTGGAAGTGAGTTAAGCGGTATTAGGAAAATAAGTGTAAGTGGGTTGGTAGATGTGGGTGTATGAGGAGCGGGTGTAAGTGGGTTAGGGTTAGACATGTGGGGGTTTGAGATTGAAAGGGAAGAAGAATAGGTTGAGGTGAGTGAGGTGTGAGGAGACTGGGGGAAGTAGGTTGAGTGAAGGTGGTGGTGGTGGTGAGGATGGTGCATGATCGCTGGCCGGTGTGTTGGGTGCCATGGAGATCGTCTTCACACCCTGGCGGCCGTTCACCTTATGGCTCTTACAGTTACCAAGTAAACGTTGCTCTGACTTGTCTCTCTGAGTGTTTCTGTAATCAAGTTATCGTCAGTGTTAAAGAAAAAAGAAGTTTATTTATCTTTCCATGTACACACTGACCTGAGATTTATCCATTTCAAACCAGTGTTAGGTGATGATATGTGAGAAACACGTATAGTACAGGTAGTGGTTTGGGATAGGGGCAGGTGTGTGGTCAAGAGGTGAGACTTCCTAACTACTATTATTATAAGAATTTTGTATTTTTTCTTGTTTGGCTTTAATTGGTTCACTGTTCAGTAATGAGGAAAAACAATTGCAACCCTTAGTCATTGGTTAATAACTCATAGATCAGAAGGGGTGACTATAATACTTCAGTTCTGGCTCGTCGAACACTCCACTCAATCATTCTGTTAGGAAGTGTATTCATAGAGCTAGAGGGCGCAGCTGAAAATAGACCCACGTCAAATAATGTATTAAGACATGAACAACGGTGTACCTTCATGTTCACTCATTTAACAAAGTTATGAACATCAATAACGAGGTTGCACTGGGTGAACTTATCGTAGGTGAAAAGTTAGGTTAGATTAGGT